AAAATAATACATTGGTGATACACTCACACACATTACATATACTCAAAATAATAATTCAGACAAGACATGTAATTGTGACATTTAAAACGATTCATGCCAAATAAAATATATATCACTTCTGTATCTCACAGCAACATAAGCCATACCCATAGTAACAAAAGACGTGCATACCCATGCTAACAAAATTAATCAAAAATCCTCTAAAGGTTTGTATTATGCTAAAAATGTCATAAGGACAGCATTAAACCCCTGGTGATTAATCGTCATTAATACACCTAAATTTGCGGAGCCAATCGTCATTGTACAACCGACTTAAGTATATCTAATTTTACGGGCAATTAGTAACCAATTATATAGAGAATTTACAAATTCTCTATTTAATAACATCTTATTTTAATCCACAACAACTAAAATAATAATTCACACATCAAGTATCTAGATATAGGCAGTGCTCCAACAAATCAAATATCAGTTTACATTGAATGATCCTATATAGTGTAGACATATGTGTAGACGTCATCCTTCAAACAAATCTGTACATACAACATATACAAAGTCATAATTACATAATACTTATAAGTTCTATTAAATTTATCATCAACAAGCATTAATAAATGCTAAATATACACAATATTCTAAAATCCACCCACCATCCCAGACTAATATATAAAAACCCATTAAACATATACAACATATACATTTCTATATATCTAATTAGTTTACTTATCGCATTTTACTATGGTAGACTTCATCTTCTTCTTGAGCGGTGAAGGTGATCTTGATCGAGACTTCCTAAAAAGCGTCTCCGCCCTCTCTCTCCTTTCTCTTTTGTAATTCTCCACTCTACCCTTGCGTGGCATGGGCTGTTTGGCTTTAGGACGTAACTGGGGCCTAAACCATCCCTGATTGTACGATGTCAGTCTTCTGGGGGATATGGTTCGGCGTGATGGAGTGGCTGGTCTATCTTCCGGCTGCGGGGTGAGTCCCCGCCTTGGTCCGTTGCTATAGAAATAATTACTCAAAGTCTTCGTTAGTTCCTGTACTGCTGTTGTCTGCTCTCTGAGCGCTGCAACCTGGCGTTCCCCCTGCCTCTTCACCTCCGCCTGCAACTCCTTTAAAGCCGAAACTACGTCATTTTTTTTCACCGTCCCAGACCGCCTCTTCCTCTCCTAATAGTTGTGGCAGGATATCAACCACCTCTGCAGTGGGACTAATCACCGTCTCTGCAGGTACAAACTCCGATGCTTCTTCCAAAAGAGTCGTCAAAGAAATTCCGTCACTGTCCACATCTTTACTCTTCTTGGCCCCCATGTTCAACCAATATGCTAGGGATGCTACCTGCTCCCATCTAGATAGCAGATCCTCCCTCCAAACAAAAGGCTTACTGGCTTGAACTATCTCTACTGGAACATCTGTCCCCTTATGAGGTCCGTACCATTTTCCATGGGCTATTAACTCTTTCTGTAAGGGATACAAAATCGCAATGTTTGCAGGTAAAGGGTACTTCATCCTTTATCACATGTGTCTTTAAATAATGTTTTATCGCATACTTTTTAATCTGTTTGAAGTCGCACAGCGTGCACTGGAATAGTCGTCCTTTTTTTTCGGCCTTGGCCACATCCATGATGAATCTGTGAAATTACAGATAAACAAGGTAAGTATGAATTTATATTCTCATTATAAAGGATCCCTTGCCAACCCATAGGAGTAGTCTGTTTCATGGCGTGGTTATGTAATAAAAAAAAATTATTATGTACACAAATGTATTTAATTCTTTAGAACTTTATACATATAGTACACATGGATTTTATTTTGTTTTATAAATCTGCCATTCATTCTCACATCCAATCATCATTCATGTGGTTGGAATATAGATTAAATATTGTTTTACTAAATTAATTTAGTATCAATATAATACTCTTAATATCTTCTTTTTTAATATAGATATTTTGTTGAGTCTGAGAGGGATTCTTGAGTTGATCATTCATGACCGAAATCCATCCGGGTGAGTACAACATATAAATATGTCAAGATTAAATTGTTACACTCTTTCATTCTTTGTTGGAAAAAAAATATGTTTATTTAATTAATCTTATTTTTTTTTTTATTAAGCATTCATAACTGGAAGAACCAACTAATAAGAACAGCAGAGGACAAGCCGGTCAATTTGGAGGAAAATGTGAATGGCTCTGTTAATGACTCAAGAAAATTTAAGTGGGAAAACCAATGCTTTCAACATCAGACGGGACTTTTCATCCTCACCAAGGGCAGATAACAAAGTATGTCTCAAGGAAGAAAACCAACAAATTTAGATTAACAACATCTCTGGATAATAATAAATTTTATTAATTGTGGGTTAAATTTAACTTCTGAAATCTTTTCAAAGCAGTCGCCATCCATGACAATCTGTCACCAAAGTATGCTTTCATTTTATTGTGGTGTACAATCTTGATGTTTGATCGTTCATCTGTCTGTACTTGGTATAATAAATCATTGATCTTTTGTAGCACCAAACAAGGACCAAAGTATCTCGGCTGCAGTTTGTAACTCTCCAGGCCAGTATTTGGGCTTTCTAATAAGATAGAAACTAGGTCACCAACTTTATATTGATTCAGGTTAGATCGTCTGTCATATCTATCCTTCTGCACTCTTAAAGAGTTTTTTAAGTTTTTCCTAACAATCTGGTTTGATTGATACATACTCTCTCTGAGTTTATATAAATAATCTGCACATGTAGAAAAATTTTCTGTCTCTCTAGAAGAACTATATATGATCTCGAGAGGAAGCTTGACTTCTCTTCCCAACATGACCATGTTTGGAGTAAATTTTGTCGATTCTTGAGGTGTACTTCTGTATGCAAGTGCAAGACATCCTAAATTCAAATCCCAATCTGTTTGCTTGCCCTTGATATAAGATTTAATCATACTAATCAGTGTTCTGTTGAAACGTTCAACCAAACCATTGGCTTGAGGGTTCCTAGGAGTTGTTCTAGTCTTTTTAATTTCTAGCATACTGCATAATTCTTGAAATAGATTGCTTTCAAAGTTACGGCCTTGATCACTGTGGATAGATTCTGGGCATCCGAATCGAGCAATGACTTCATTTAGAATTTTATCTGCACAAGTCTGGGCTGTCTGGTCATGAACTGGAAGTATTTCCACCCATTTGCTGAAGTAATCTGTTACGACTAATATATATTTGTTTCCTCGTGGGGTTCTGGGTAAGGGACCAAGTATATCTATGCATAATCTGTCCATGGGTGCACCAACACTCATGTCCCCTAAAGGTCCTTTTGATGATTTAGTAGAAACTTTGTTCATCTGACATTCATGACATTTCTGTATCCATGCATTGATATCTGTTTGCATGTCATACCAATGAAAGAATCTTCTTATCTTTGCAGTGGTCTTCTTTTGGCCCAGATGTCCAGAGATCACAGAATTGTGCATCTGATGTAGAACCTGGTCTCGTAAGGTATGAGGTAGTAGTAACTGTAAGTATTGTAAATCTCCATTGTTAGAGACAAATTTCTTGTACAGAATACCATCTTTCAACTCGATGGAGTCCCAAATATTACAGTAGTATCTGCAGGGAGGACTGGCATTTTTAGTAGAATTATCATCTGGTTTTTGACCTTTTTCTTTAGAGTTATATATCAAATTCAAGTCTGGGTCATCTTTCTGTAATTTTGCCATATTTACTGAAAGACATATATCTTGCCAAGATGTAACTTCTGTCTTTGTTTGATTACGAGTAATTACTCGAATAGTATTTGTAGTTTTGTTTCTTGTATCTGGCCATCTCTAACGCTCTGGGGTTTCTTCATTTCTTTTTATACACTTTTTACAGGGACCACATCTCAGTGTCGATTCGGCCTCTTCCACACACTGGCAGTTATGTGGGTCAGGACATCTTGAAAGTGCATCAGCATTGCCATGTTTATGGCCAGGTCGGTATTCAATTGAAAAATTGTATGAAGAAAGTATTACCCTTGGGTTCTTTAATTTTAAACAACCATACCAAAGCTTGGTGATCAGTTCGGATTTTGAATCTTCTTCCCAAGAGATACTGTCTAAAGTATTCTACAAAATATCGTACTGCAAGCAGTTCTTTATCTGTGACACAATAATTGGTTTCAGCTTTGTTTAAACTCTACTGGCATAGGCTATAACTTTTTCTTGTCCGTCTTGTATCTGACTCAATACAGCCCCAATACTGAAGTTACTTGCATTTGCATCAAGTATGAACTCTCCGTCCATTGTAGGGAAACTCATAATTTCTGGTCCAGTTAGGAGATTTTTAATACATTGGAAGGCCTCTTGACATTCGTCAGTCCACAGAAAGGTACTCCCTTTTTTTGTTAAGTTAACCAGGGGTCTAACAATACTTGCAAAATCTTTAATAAATTTTCTATAATAGGATGCCATGCCAATTACTTGTCGAACTTCAGTTGGCGTCTTAGGAACTGGCCAATTCAGGATTTTCTCAATATTATCCGGGTTGGGTTTCACTCCATCTTTATTGATCACATGACCCAGAAAGGAAACTTCCTTTCGAAACAACTGGCATTTATTAGGTTTTAATTTTAAACCTGCTTCTTTAATCCTACTTAAAACTTCTGTGACTCTTGTCAGATGTTCTTCAAAATTTGAACCAAATACAATGATGTCATCTAGGTATATCAGACACGTTTGCCATTGCAAACCAATTAAAATTATCTGCAGGGTTCGTTGAAAAGTTTGTGCACTCCCCTTCATTCCCATAGGCATAGTTAGAAATTCCCACAATCCATATTTTGTTATAAAAGCAGTTATTGGTATATCTGATTCTTTGACAGGAACTTGGTGGTAACCTGAAGTTAAGTCAAATGTTGAAAATATTGTTGCTCCAGAGACAGCATCTAGACAGTCTTGAATTCTAGGCAGAGGAAAGGCATCATTTTCTGTCACCTCGTTCACCTTTCTATAGTCTTTACATGGCCGAATTTTTCCATTTTTCTTCTAAACAAGGTTCAGAGGTGAAGCCCAGGGAGAATTTGATTTTCGAATGATTCCCTCTTTTTCCATATCTGTAATTGTTTTAAGTTCAGCTTCAGCATAAGCAATAGGAACTCTTCTGGGTGGAAGTTCAATTGGTCTAGCATTGCCAGTATCAATCGCATGCTCATTAATATGAGTCAAACCCAAGTCTAAGTCGTTCTTAGAAAAAGTGTCTTGAAAGTCAAATAGCAATTTGAACAGATCTCTCTGTGACTTTTCATCAAGTTCATTAGACTTCAAGGAGTCTTCGTATAATTGTCTTAAATGTTCAGGTAATTTTTCATTTAATTGTCCTTTTTCTGTTTCAGTGGTATGCCTGACAGTGTGTCCTATTGTAATATTATCTGCGCTTCCGCCAGGATCTTCCAGCACAGTTTCATATAGAAACTCTTCAGCATTTCCAAGTACGACATATTGCCATATCTGTTTTTGTGTACAAGTTGGATTCAAAAGTCTGACAGGTACTGTAGTACTTTTCTCTATGTCAATCAAAGAACATGCCATTAACAATTCATACTTTTCTGAAAATTTCTCATTTGGTTCCACTATAAACTCTGTAGGCTCTGTACCATCGTCATTCCTCTCGACAAAAGCTTGAATAATCTTCTCACTGTAAGGGGGAACAACATAATTATCAGCAGCTGTAACTCTTCGGCATTTGTTGTCTGATTTAACTTGAATGCATGGTATAGTAGTTCCATGTAATCGTACAATTCCTCGACTAAGTAGAATATCCGCGGGTACTCCCATATTTATCTTGTAAAACATCCACCCCCAAAAGACAATCATCATTTATATTTGCAATGATAATATTCTGTTGTACGAACAAATCATCCAGGTTCAGAGTAAATTCTGCTTCACCAAGTAAGGTCAAGCTTGTACCACATGCATTCACAATGCCTGGTGTATCCTTAAGCTCAGGTTTCTTCTTTATTCGTTTAAATACTCTTTCTGACAAGATGGTTCTGGAAGCACCAGTATCAATAGTAAAAGTAACGGGGACATCATTGATTTTTCCTTTGATATAAATTCCAGGGCATTTTTCAAAATTTCTTTTGACATCATCAGTAACAAGGCTAATATCTTTTATTTTATTTTCAGATAGGTCTTCGTTCAAAGTCTCCTGGATCGTCTCTCGACCTGCAGTTACGATCCCCTGAAGTTTAAATTTCCGGGATATTGTGGTGCTGTACTTCTGAAGTTTTGCTGGGTGACAACTGGACAGTCACGAGCAAAATGACCCTGATTGTTACACTGATAACAAGCAGTGTTGGAGGATGTTTTAAATCTGGGAAGAAAGGCTGAGGATTTATTCATCTCGGACAACATCTTTTCAAGATTCTGGATTTGTCTTTGCATTCTTAGTATATCATCTTTGAGATCCACATTAGTAGTTCCTGATGTTTTAGATTTATGCATTGTTGTAAACGAAGCATCATTTTGTGAAACTGTCTTGGATTCCTTTTCTTTATTTTCAAATCTCTTATTACTTCCTGTTTTTGTATCATTTTCAGTCACTGCCCGAATTGGACGTTTATCGGCCTTTGAAGAGCTCCTTTTATGAAGATCGCTGAAATTGATCACTTGGAATACAGCATCATCAATGTTGTCTGGCTCTTTTATGTATTCGACCTGGAACTGGACTTTCTCATCATTGAGACCATCAAAGAATTTTCGAAGTAGATCCTCTCTGCGTATAGTCTCGTCCCTGTTAGGGTATGCCTTGGCATATAGTTTCTTTAAGTCTGCTGCATAGACTTCTACAGGTTCATTTGGTTTCTGTCTACGGTTACTGAACTTAGCTTCTAACGACTTCTTAGTTTCTATAACTTGGTATCGATTATCTAATTCTCTGATTAGTTTCTTGTAATTAGATTTTGTTCTTTTTGTAAGTTGTTCAAAGACAAATTCTCCTGCTCCACCTTGCATTCTAGGTAATAGCTCATCAAGTCTTTCATTGTTTGTCCAATTTCCCCTGTCTGCAATTTCTTCAAATCTGCCCTTCCATACAACCCATTTTTCTTTATCTTGACCAGTAAAGGGAGGTAACTTATGAGAAAATTTTCAGGGATGTCTCTTTTGAGTTACAATAGATGTAGGTATTCTCTCATCATTAGAATCTGATGTACTGCTACTGGTGGAGTCATCTGAGGAGGATGAATTTTCATCGATCAATCTTGCCCGTTTAAGCTGTCTCTCTGACTGGGTTTTTCTAGAAGCACGTCTATGTCTGGACAATGTTTTAGACTGAGCTGTATCTGTACGACTCCTTCCAGGGCTTTGGTGCTGTACTGATACACCTGATTGGACTGTATTCAAAAATTTCTGCATGTCTTTTAAAATTGTGGCCAAATCATCTCTGTTGTCAGACAACTGATACATAGGGGGCTGGTATACTGGATTGTTCATTTGTTTACTTCTGACATCTTCGTGATTTTGTCTCATTGCATTTGAATGATCTGATCTAGTAACTGGAGGACAGGAATATGGACGCCCATTCTTGGGAGGGATCGATTCATGCAAATCATCTATAGACGAATCATCTGTCAAATCATGGATTGGTAGCGGAAATTGATTAGGGTTATCTCCCCTATCGAGGATGAACATTTGTTCATTGCACCTTTCTGGTGTTGTATGTTTTTGTTCATTTGTAATAAATGATTGTGACACATTTTCTGTGTTTAAAGGATTCATATGTAATGAATTGTGCATCAAATTTGATGTTGAAGTTGTGCATGACATATGCATAGTGTCCTGTACAGTAAATTTACTGTTTATAACACTTTTATTTCCAAAAGGATTTTCAATTCCAGTTTTTAAACTGTTGTCAGAATTTATTTTGTCTACACACTGCCTATCATTTTTCTGTCTCACACTCACATCATCTGACATCTCATCAGCTTCTACAACAACCAGACCCTTTCTTTTATTCTTTCCCATATTATCTATCTGAACACTGCCTAATCAAAAATAAAAATAAACTCACACATCAACTTTTATTTTTACAAACAACTAGCAAAAATATAAAAAGGTTCGTATCTCTGGATACCTATAAAATTGAAGGTATCCCGCCGTGGATGCCAAAAATGTAACGCTAGCGGTTCTGCTAGAAATTGTTTTCATAGAATTAATAATTCTCTCAACTCCTTTTATAAATGTACCATTCGCAAAGAAGACATAAGATTATTAACATTAAACAATTAAATTTATTAAGTGCATTATCAACAAACAATTTATTTAAACGACGACATTCACACCACATTCATACCCAACTAATAATAATAAATAAGTTTAATAAAAATAAATAATTAAATCATACCATAAAACAGACTGAAAAACCACCCCAAAAATCTAACGTGTCTATTCCTATGCGTATAAAATATGTGACAACAAGTCTTAGTTATTTATAACTTTGACTTGTAAAACTTAACACCAAGCTTTACTGTATTTAACAGGTTAGCTTGTTAAACTCCTAAAATACTTTATTAAATAGGGACACAAGCCGTGGTTATTTATAACTTTGACTTGTTAAACCTAACAACAAGCATTACTGTATTTAACAGGTTAGCTTGTAAACACTAAGGGCAAAGAAAGATAACTCTAATAATCATAAGTAAGTTTATCGAGAAGCAACGTTTAAAAATTCCCAAGTACTCTAATAAAATAATTTCTATTAAAAATAATTGAAGAGAAATTTACGTATCTAGAATAATTAAATTACTGTATGAAAATAAAATAAATAATTGACTTTCGTTGAACTAATCAACTTTACTCATCATAAAAGAGAAAGATAGCAAACGTATAACTTTAGTTACATAGTTTGCATTAAAATGAAAATGAAATAAAATAGAGTAAAAATGAAAAATAAAATAATCCTGGATAAATTAATTACTAAAGAAGACTACTCAGTCATAGACTGTTGAGTCTTTAAAACAACCGATAGCGGACAATAGTATCTTACTATTTTGTGTCCTACACGGTAAAACCCTATCCTAAATAAATAAATTAAAAATAAATTCCTAAATAAAAATAAATAAATAAAATAAAATAAAATAAAAGATAGACAAAATAAAAGTTAAAATAAAATCCTAAAAAAATCTGAGAGTTCCGTAAAACGGACCTACCAAATCAAAATAAGCAGAAGAGTGACTAAAAAATCTCAGCGTCTAACTTTTATATGACTCTATGACAGAAAATAACGGAAAATGCTGGAAAATAACGGATATTAATAGAATTATTAATTATGAAATTTCATTGGATTATCAATTAATGATCAATTATATCGAACAATCTGATTGGTCAATTGTAAAACATCACGATCTTTCACGTGAACAAGTGTCACCAAATATTCTATACAAGTATGAAATAATGAATTTTTACATATTTATCAATTAAATAAAAATCTATTTCACAATAAATAATTAAAACAAAACAAATTAAACTTAAAACAATATTCAGTTTATCTAAAAATACAGTCATTCATAAGATACCGCCATTCAAACTCGATATATTTATCGGTTATATTACAAATGCAAGGATAAATTTATCAATTACTTTAACAAGTTTCTAAACCGGAAGTACATCGTAATGAAGAGCGAAACTGTCAAACAATGTGACAACAGAAGTTTAGACTATTTCACAGGTATTATACCAACTAAATAACACTAACCAAACAACAATTACTTACTATTTGACACAGTTATAGTCTTCGAATTATCTCAGTCATGTTTATGTTATCAAAATATATCAATCTACCCTTGTTTCACAAGTATATACATTTACAATTAAGTGACTTAGGTACAACTCTGCGAATAGCACATTCTATAAAACAAAATAAAACTGTGAATAAACAAACTGCATCAACCCGCTCCAAATCACCACAATGCATGATAACATATTACAGTCATTGACCCTATTTGATAGAAAAATCAACCCGCTCCAAGCTCACACATATATAGTAAAATATTACAGTCATTGACTCAGAATGATTAAACACTGTTGTGGATAAAATAAAAAGTTACACCATGTAACCTAACATTACTATTATTGCATCATTTAAAAAAAGGGGGGGGGGGTCACATGCACTACAGAAAGGTAATAAGTTTTAAGGGAATAATCTATTTGTATTTTACAAATATCCCTTAATTTGAAGGAGGGAGTCTATGCATCAGATTTGAACCATGTGGGCCTATTTACGCCCTGATATGATTTTAATCTATTGTGGTGGATAATTTCCCCCTTATGATTGCATTTCTCTATTTTGTAAAGAACGTCATTTATTCTGTGTAAAATAATGAATGGTCCCCTCCATTTAAGAGATTTTTGGGGAGTCCCATATTTTGATTTGGGAAAAAAACGTACAGCATCTCCTGGGTCGTATTGGTTTTGGTGAATGTTGCACTGTAAACACGTTTGTTTGTTATATTATATTCCTCTGGAGAATTTTTCACTCATATGGAGACGCCACCTTTTGCCGGTGGAGAGCTGCAAATTTATACCTATACTCGGCACTCAGGGTAATTGAGCAGTGAGGAAAGTAGTAAGGGGTATAGTCTGGGGTCTATATGGGGTCACTGACGTCATGGGTCCGTCTGGGGTCACCCATCCCATGAAAGCCGTCTGAGGTCGATGACGTCACGACCCATCCCATAAAACCGTCTGGGGTCACCCATCTGATAAAACCGTTTGGGGTCACCCATCCCACAAAGCCGTTTGGGGTCACCCTTCCCATCAAACAGCCGTCTGGGGTCACCCCTCCGTTTTTCCCACGATCAAATTCTTGGTTTTTCCACTAGGGGATTGTCTCAGACACACCCTATAAATTCCTCATGTTTATTATATAAACTCCAAGTTTCATTTAGATTTTTATTCTGCAAAGAGGAAACACTTTAATTTATACAAAGACAGTACTTGTATTAGTAAGTATACTTTGCTTAATTCTTGTTACCCAACATGCAGTTTCTTTTCTTTCTTGTTACCCAAATAATTTCCCCTTTTCAAGAATTACACTTTCATTTTTTTTTTAAATATTTTATTAGCATGATTTTTAATATTTTATTAATTCTTATAAATATAAGAACAAAGGAATATTAATGAGAACCTTCAATAGACCTACATTTAACAAACAAAGGCTTCATAATAGTTAACTCAAATAAAACCTAACTTTTTAAACATTTGAAATTATTTTAAACATTTCAAATAATCCTGCATATAATTAACAATCATTGAAGTTTGTATTGAGTCCACTCTAACTGAATCACTTACTTTCTTAAACATTTGAAATTATTTTAAACATTACAAATAATCCTGCATATAATTAACAATCATTGAAGTTTGTAATAATTAAGTTCAGTCTAACTGAAACAACTACTTTTTTAAACATTTGCAATTATTTTAAACATTTCAAATAATCCTGCATATAATTAACAATCATTGAAGTTTGTAACAAGTCCACTCTCACTGAATCAATGAGTTCAGAAAGGGCGCTTAACTCCTCCTTAAGAGGATACTGCCTCGACGTTTGCGAAGATGCGGGGGTCCCTGTCCCTGATGGGACTGCTGGTAGCACTGGTGTATTTCTAGCTGTCGGTGTTAGGGTATGGTCAGGAGTCGGAAGGTTAAGTATCGAGTTAAATTCTGTTGGTGTAGATGACAGGTTAAGGGACGATGCGGGGCTGGATGGAACACATATAGACGAAGACGGGCTATATCCCAACGCAAACTCTGATTTGATTGGTGGTGTAGGACATGGGTTATATCCATACGCAAAGTCGGGTGCCTGGGGGTCGAGCTCAGCTTTAATTGGTGGTGGTGAGGGACAAGGTGGGCTATAGCCTATCGCAAACGTTCTTCTCTCTAGCGCTTCATATTTAGCAGGATTATCCTTCCTGTAATAATGAACATATTTAAAATGAAAAAATTTGTGAATAGATGTAAAATTAGAAATATCTGGTCACATTAATCATTTTTGTCTGTTATATTTAAAAAACACTTCGTACAGAAAAATAAATATGTGTTGAAATATTGTATTATAATGACCACACAATATTCGTGCATCTATCGTTATGCGCAATAAAGATACCCTTATGTTGACCACATTTCATACTAATGAATATTATTGATAATTTAAGTCGTATATTCAACCTGAACGGGGTACACATCATAACCGTATTTGGAAAGGTCTAAAAGTCGCATGTACAGATCGATAAAATTTGACCTAAACGCAAAAAGTGTGTCAAAGTTTATTCAGATCACAAGAGTCGTATCTAATACGTTGTAATATTTTAAAAAAAAAAAACAGCCCGTATTAAAAAAAGTAACTACATGTTCAAAAATGTCATATCACACAATGTGGGTTTTTGTGAACAAAAGTCATGAATTATAAAACTGTCGATCGTGCGTTGAAGTCTGTATATATCCAATTCATTTAATCTATATTTTATTAATATAAATCTAAATTTGCGCCTTTCACGTTATTTTAACCCAAACCATCCTTCAATATCTGTCATCGTGTGTGTGTGTATAAGGGTTTCCACGAGAGAGAGAGAGAGAGAGAGAGAGTATTACGATGACTCTCAGAGTGCATCATGCACTTACAAATGTATTTCATTTCAACAGAATTAATAATCTTAGTTTATATAGCATATATATGAATTAATTTTGAAAAAAGGGTAGATCAGAAGATCACGTGACCAAAATTTTCGCGCGGATATGTTATCACGCGCTCATGCTGAAAAAAAAGATGGAGGAGAGGTCTGTGAGGATGATGTGTGTTATAGGCCTATCTATTGCTTTATGCCCCGTAATTTTGGGTGCCGTATTAAGGAGTCCCACCAGAATCGTTAAGACATGTTACTTGCCTTGTATTAATATCACGGTGCAAGCGTCAGAAGTTCGAGACGTTTTTGTGACGTCATGTAGACTGAACTCTGTATTCGTAATTGGAAATATGTCTTCGGTACATATTCACCCACTGGACCAAAGTCACAAAGAATGTGGTAAGTCTTATATATTTCAATTTCAATTAAGTTATCGTACACAGATCCCATTATCCCCCCCCCTTTCATTGTTGGACAAGTGAAGTAGTACTGAACTTCAGTTCAGTACTGAAGTAATTAAATTTGCATCAAATCTGGGTTTTTTTCATATTGGTATTGAGGTGATCACTAGTGAATTAATTTTTTATCGACCATTAAAAAGTACACATAACTGCAAAAAAAAAAAGACGCTTTATCTCCGAAGGTTTACGGAAAGTGCTGCGCGTTTAAATAAAGATCGGGTTCGACATAATATGAATTCGAAAATCAGAGGCATTCCGAATGTTTCATGAATTCTATTTTTTTAAATTTCAGAGCCAAAACAAATCACAGAAACGGGGAAGAACGGTGAGCATTTGAATATACTAATTAAGAAAGATTGTGTGTGTGTAAACATATATAAAGTCTTATAAATATTGCTGTAAAAGGATCTATAGGTAAGGGTGACATTATCAGACCTCGGGTGGCATTAAGTCCATACAGTCTTGAACATGTTGAAAATTTGAAGTAGAAAGGTTTTATGATACCCTTTTTCCCCTCAGAACCAGTTGAGAAAACGACCAGGCAAGTGGTTTCAAGAACGACAAGAACAACGATAGCTATCACTGAGACCCGAACACCTCATCCCACTAAAGAAGAAGGTAATGGAGGTAAGATGTATACCATAAGTATATAACACATGATGTTTGTGTATAGTCAATGCGTGGCAAGTATACTTTCGTGAACATGGTCAAGGTATAAAAGAACAAAATAATGTTCATAATGTCTTTTTGTTTTATTTTTCAGAGCCAGTGGAGAAAACAACACAGCCTAGGATTACAAGAAGGACAAGAACAATGATAGCTAGCCCCATGATCCGAACACCTCATCCCACTAAAGAAGAAGGTAATGGAGGTAAGATGTATACCATAAGTATATAACACATGATGTTTGTGTATAGTCAATGCGTGGCAAGTATACTTTCGTGAACATGGTCGAGGTATAAAAAAAAAAGGAAAGAAAATGTTCATAATGACTTTTTGTTTTATTTTTCAGAGCCAGTGGAGAAAACAACACAGCCTAGGATTACAAGAACGACAAGAACAATGATAGCGAGCACTGAGACCCAAACACAAGAGAGAAATTACAAAGATCTTGCTGAGGGTATATCTGGTTCATCCATCTATATTATTGTCATTTGTTCACTTAATTTGTTATTTCTCTTTTTATTTAAAACAAAGAAAATAAAAAATATGTATTTAGATAAATGTAAGAAAAAAAGAAAACATGTGAAAAGAAAAAAAAAGTTGAGTACATGGTTGTTTAGAAAAAATCAGATAGTTAAGGAAAACAAATTACCATCAAAATATGAGCTTCAGGAAATTATAAGATCTTGTACAAAGTCAGATGATGAATTTGAAGATGATGACTTTTATGATGAAGTAAACTTTGATTCAAGATTGTACGTTAATAAAAAATAGATTTTGTAAAGTGATTTTTTTTTTTAAAAACACATGTAAAGTATATAATGTTTCATAAATTATGTGAAGAAATCTTGTTTTTGAGAGCTACATTTTTTTTTGTAGATTATCTGATATGGGCTATCATTATTACGATTTGCTGTAAAGTGTCTTTGGTCATCATAATTCGACTTTCAATTAAAATTCGACGTACAAGAATGCATGACATACCGATGCGATTGACAGAGATTGACTCCCCTGCTCCTACCACACCACCACCAGCTGCTCCTTCCGCACCACCACCTTCTGCACCAGAGAACCCTCCAGAGAACCAACCCTCTGCACCAAACCAAACCCCTCAATTAGGTCATACAGACACACCTAGGGGTGCAGAAGGAATTGAAATGTCATATTTTACACCCCAAACTGCCAAACCCTTGATTCAATCCAAAACATCATCCCCCATTGCACTCCGAACCAGGTCGCACACACGTAAAAAGTTGAATTTTCATGTGTAAATGTAATATCAAGAATTTTTAAATCTTGATAACGGTTTTTTTTCTTGAGTACAGTTTCTAGAATGAAAGTTGTGAATGGATTACTTTTTTCGGATGAGGAATAGCAGAACTGTTTTTTTTTTCTATTTAGATGTTTTTTTTTTATCAACAGTGTATTCCTTTCAGCTTTCATTTATATCACTTGTATTATGTTTTTGTTTTAAAGAAGAACAAATGCATGATGTAAATGATGAACTTTACTCAAGCATTTTGATCATGTTTATAGGATCATGAGAGAAAATTTGTAAGCTTGATGCCAATTTTTGAGGGTTTTTTCTTCATGACAGTTTCATTGAAAGAAATAGGATTATCTTTTTTTATTTGTAAGGAATATCAGAGTGATCCCACATTATTTTTTTTTATTGAAAAAAATTTACATGTAGTTGAACTTGGTTCTTTTTTTTTTTTTATTAACATACCTACTTTGTGTAGCTTGGAGGGGAGACTCATATTTTATTTCTGTTTTAAAATGCAAGTTGCATTTGTTAATACTTGTATATTATCTTTATTTTCGTAGATGGCTTCTACTTTATGACTGAGCATTTTAGGGTGAGATTAAATAAAAGATGGATGAATAAAAATCTAAGTTAAGAGAGGAATGTAGAAACTCTGTCATTCAGCATAAAATTCCTAAATGTTTACTTTAGTAGGGAAATAAAAAAAAAATCAACTAAAAAACCTGGCCAGTAATATTAATTGTATATCTTTCTACGTCCAACTTTAGAATTTTTATACTTGTGTAGTTGTCACAAAGAACAGAGATGGTATACAGATTTTTTTTATACTTATTAATTAGTCTTAATACTCATCATGTTAATGTTTTTTTTTTTTGAGGGGGAGGGGGGTGGTATGGGTAGGTGGGTCTAAGTGAAAACTTGGGATTTTTTTCTGTAAATTTTGATCACACCCTTTAATCATACCTCATTTTTATTATTATACTCTGCTGTGATCTATTGTACAGAAATACTGACTTTGAAGATGATTATACTTTGTGAAATGGTTTTTGTCAATGATTCGTTTTACTTATTTTTTTTTCAAAAGTGATTTTATGTGATTTTACCTTGTAGAGAAGTATTTGATTGTTTACTTTTAGATATACCTCAATTATTATACACATATACTAAAGTATAGTATTGTTTTGAAAATGTTCTTTATATACTTTCATTAAAGAAGTATTAAAAGTTTATGATTGTTGGTTATTGTTTTTTTTAATCTATGTATCACTGAGTATAGCTTTCTGCTATTTTGTATAAGGTCCCATATACGATAATTCTCTAGTTACTACTTTGCATTAACATTAGGTCATTGATATATGGAATTACCATATAATTGAACTGATCGTCATAGGACCCAAAACTTGACCAGTTGATTTGTGTTTAACGACTAAATGATTGGAAATATTATTTAAATGTCAACTTTTTTAATTCCTTTGCTTGGATAAATTTTTTTTAATGGAAATACTATCAAGAATACATCTGTGCCACAAGTTATAAAATCTAAACTTTATTTTTAAAAAAAATGTATTTTTTTTATTGAAGATGACATGGCTGACAGTCTCTTAAAGGAAATTCTAGACTCCTTAACTGATGTCGACACTATTAATCTCTTTGCTGCAGCCAACGGTCTAACCGGTGACACAGAGGTTGAGAACCGAATAAAAGAACTTGAATGGAATGGACACATAGATAATTTATGGAATGAGCTTCTTCTTGACCTAGAACCTGCATATAAGAAACCAAGACAATCGCTTGATGATAACCAACCGTCTACCAGCACTCAGTCGGGGGGTGGGGATGAACATAAAGAAGTAGAAAAACCCTACTTCATATGGAAAAGGGAAACCCGGACCTATAAAAAAAAATCTAGCCCGTGATACGACTTTTAAGGTGAAGTTCAATGACCAGTGGAGGGGAGATAGATTAATAGATATTCATGACAAATTACATAATATGTTCAATGATGTATTGTCACAAGCCAGAGGACATGATGCTGATTTGGGAAGGGTGGTACTAAGTCACCCTAATTTAAACAACCCCATTGTCGTCCCATTACAATCGTGGGAAAATCTCAATGCCGATACAGTGATGTCTGAGATTACCAAGGTGCTTAACTCTAACGAAACGATTCCTGTTGACGAACATTTACTCGTCACTGTAGGATCAATAGATTTGCCAAAGGGAGGCAGCTGGAGTGGAAATAAATTAGCAGTAACGTCGCTCTTTGGACCCAATAATTCTTTGAAAAAAAAGAAGTCTGTCTTGTACGTTGATAATGACAACAATCTCTGTTTACCCATTGCCATAGGCCTCTGTTTTATGAAAACCTGTAAAAAGGTAAATGCCGAAACGTGGTCTTGTTTAACCGGAAGTGACTCGGGGGTCAGGATGGATCACGTGATTCAACACAGAACCGTTCCCAAACACTATTATGGTAATTTACTTAAAAAAACACGTAGAAAATACCAAACGGAAATGGCGATTTGGCTTTGTAAAAAAGCAGGCGTTCCTGTAGACAGATATCTAGGGTTAAATGATATCGAACCTTTCGAAACCTTGTTGAACGTGAGTATCAATGTGGTGTCGTCCCGAGTAGGAAACAAATTTGTCCGAGTTACGAAAGAGAATTCGGAACAAACACGTCTTTATTTGTATCACGTGGAAACGGAAAACGAGAAACATTGGCATGGTATTGGGAGCATACAGGGGTTCTTCAATGCTGCTTATTTTTGCCATACGTGTTTGAAACCTTACAAAAACAAATATGCACATACTTGTGCGACGTCCTGCGACGTGTGTCTGTACGATAACTGTCCCGAGTCGGAAATGCAGGTTGGATGTCCATCTTGCGGTCGTGTATGTCGTTCACTCGCCTGCTTTGAAAGACACAAAATCGGTAAAATGGTGCGCAAAGACAAGATACCCCCTGCATGTGAATTGTGGCATCAGTGTAAGAAATGTCGCGTTAAACTGTCAACTGCTAAACGCAACCCTAAGCTACACGTCTGTGGCGAGTGGCAGTGTTCCAGTTGTTCCGAATATCACGTAGGGACACACCTTTGTTATCAAAAAGCATACCAATCGGATCCGGAAAAAGCGGAAAAGAAGTTCATCTTTTATGATTTTGAGACGCGCCAGGACGACATTTTTCATTGCGATCAAGGGTATACCCCCTCTTGTATCAGATGTCGAGAATGTGCCAAGAAGGAACAACAGTGTGCAAACTGTAGACTATGTCAAAATTGCCAGGATCCGTCTTGCGGACTGCATCAACATAAAGTAAATTTTGCAGTCTTACAGACCTCTTGTAATGCATGTGAAAAAAACGAATTAAACAAAGATTCTACATGTAGCGAGTGTGGTGTACGCTGTGTCAGGTGCTCTCAAATGAAAAAATCAAAATTCATTCGTTCTCCTTGTCCAGATACTTGTGGTCACCGGGAACTGATCTTTCGTGGTGAAGACGCCGCACAGCGATTTTGTGCCTACGTGACTCAACCACACGTCAAAAACACGATTTTAATCGCCCATAACGCCAAAAGTTTTGACTTGTATCCCATTTTAGAGGTTCTCATTGACCGACATTCGATTAGACCAGATAAAATCATTTACAACGGATCCAAAGTAATGTACATGCACATCGCAAACAAACTGAATCTCACATTTTTAGATTCGTTGAATTTCCTTCCCATGAAATTAGCAAAGATCCCAGAAGCTTTTGGTTTAGAAGAACTCAGCAAGGGATTCTTTCCTCATTTTTTTAATACGAGAGAACATCAGACTTACGTGGGTCCCTATCCGGCTCTAGAATTCTACGGATACAATTTCATGTCATCGGGAGAGAGAAAGAAATTGGTCACGTGGCATGCAAGTAAGAGTTCTGAAGTATTTAACTTTCAAGAAGAGATGTTGAAGTACTGTCGCTCGGACGGGGTTGCATAGCGTTTCGAAATACCGTTCTTCAAGCCACGACAATAGAAACTTCACATGTTCAACCCGATGGAACTATTTCAACGACGACCATAGATGGCGTAGACCCCTTTGATTACGTAACGATTGCCAGTGTTTGTATGGGTATTTATAAAACTTTATTTCTTAAACACAACCTTGAAGTAGAAATCACGAGGGATCAGACATCCAGCTGGCATGAGATGGACAACTATGAGGGGGTAAAAGGGGTATGGCTTGATGGAAAATGGGTAGCCCTCAGTGACCTGGAAAAAGAGGAAAATACAGAAGTGGGAAAACAACATTTGACGAGTCCCATTGCCGTCGTTCCTTCTCAAGGATACGTCTGTAAAGAGAATTATAGTAAAATCTCTATTCAATGGTTAGAATGGCTCATGCAACGAAGTCGACAACGAGGAACACCGGTTCATATCCGTCACGCTCTTAATGGGGGAGAGTACCACGTACCAGGGACCAATTACCGATGTGACGGTTTTGTCGAGAGTCCTACGGGGAAAGGCACCATATACGAATTTTACGGTAAGATATTTTACTCTGTATTACAAAATTTGGCATTGAATTTGCCCCTCCCTTGCCCCTAACGGAGGAGGGGGGGGGGGGCGGCGGCGGCGAATCTGGTGTTGAAAACATGTTTTACATCTTATGTGTGTTTTTTCTTAGGTTGTGTGTACCACGGTTGTCCGGATTGTTTCCAACAGGATCGATCCGATGTCAAGCACCCCGCAACGAACCAGACATTAGACGAACTCTTCAAGATGACTAAAAAGCGAGAACGAGAACTCAAAGAGCTTGGCTATCATCTGGTCGTCGTATGGGAGCATCAGTTTCGGTACCAGCTGGAGAAAAACACTGATTTGCAACAGTTTATCTCCACATTGGATCTGCAAGACAGACTTGACCCCCGTGACAGTTTCTTTGGGGGTCGTACCAATGCCATAAAACTCCATTATAAAGCTAAAGAGGACGAAACCATTCAGTATTATGATTTCACCAGTCTCTACCCTTGGACAAATAAATACTGTCGTTATCCCCTGGGTCATCCGACCATTATCACGGATGATTTTCGGGACATGTCAAATTATTTTGGCCTCGCCAAAATCAAAATCCTGCCACCTAGAAAATTGTACCACCCCGTGCTTCCGTACCGCTCTCAAGGGAAACTGAAATTTCCACTGTGCCGAACGTGTGCGGACTCTGAAAATCAGCATGACTGTAGTTGTTCTCTAGAGGAAAGAGCCATCACGGGCACGTGGTGCACTCCCGAAATCCAAATGGCAGTGTCAAAAGGGTACCAAATTTTAAAAATTTATGAGGTCTATCACTTTCAGCAATCGTCTCAATATGACCCTTCGGTGGGTGAGGGGGGTCTGTTTGCAAAGTACGTCAATACGTTTCTTAAGATTAAACAAGAAGCCTCGGGATTTCCTCCCGAGTGTGATAGCGAAGAGTCAAAACGGGAATACATTCGACAATACAGAGAAAAAGAGGGCATAGACTTGGAGTATGACAAAATTCAGAAAAATCCAGGTTTGCGCTGTTTAGCCAAACTCTGTCTCAATAGTTTTTGGGGGAAATTCGGTCAGAGACTAAGTATGAAACAATCCATGTTCTTCCACGAATCCGAATGTGATAAGTTGTTTCGGATTATCTCAGATCCTACTAAAGTACCTCATAATTTTCACATTGTTTCTAGGGACACGCTTCAATTTGAATGGAGTAATCATCCCATGTTTATGCCCCCGGATTGCAAAACAAACATATTTTTGGCAAGTTTCACTACTGCACATGCGCGATTACGCTTATATAGTGTATTAGATCGGTTGAGGGAGAACGTTCTGTATTTCGATACAGACAGTGTAATTTTCAAAACCAAAAAGTCGGACGACTTGCATTATCTCCCGATCGGAAACTATTTAGGGGAATTGACCAACGAGATCAAACCAGAAGATGGTCAAATTGTGGAATTTGTGTCGGGGGGTCCCAAAAATTATGCATACCGTACACTTTCTGGCAGGGAAGAATGTAAAGTTCGTGGGTTTACATTAAACTGGGCTAACTCTAAAGTGATCAATTTTGAAGCTATCAAATCCTTGATCTGTACAGCACAAGATAAGCAAATTGAAATTATCAATCCCTGTAAAATATCCAGAGACAGTCGAAAAAGGAAATTGTTAAACCGCATAGAAACCAAACGATATCAAATGGTTTACACCAAAAGGAGAATTCTGCCCAATTTAGATACGCTGCCATTTGGATTTTGTTAAAACCGTGAAAAAAAGTACACATTTTATTACCCTCTTTTATTTCAATGCTCAAATTACATTTCAATGTATTTATTAACTATAGTGTACGTTACATTATGTACAATAAAATTCATTAAAAAAAAGTCTTTTCTCTCAATTTAGCACTCAGTACGTAAGCCAAGGAATGTGTTTCTTGCGTCGTTTCATGGGTACACCAGGGGGTTTTCCTATTGTTTGAGTTCTACTGACGTAACCATTTCCTGTCTGTGAGGTGTCATTGATTGATTCACTCATCGTTGTATCGGTGAAGGTCTTTTCAGGCATTGGTTTTTGATCCTTGTTGTCATTTACTGTGTCTGGTTTAACAGGCTCTTCTTTATCCTCAATTTTTTTAAGGAGATGTTCGTATTTTAATTTAGGCACTAGTATCATTTCCCTCGCCATTTTTGTCTAATTGATGGACAATGGGTTTCAGTAACAGTGATACTAAGGGTAGATGTTTCAATAAAATCTCACGTTTCTGTCTCGTACTGACTTCTCTCGATCCCAGTGATCGAATGTACGATTGGTAAGGTTTCAGCTTATTTATATACTTCTTCGTCAGAGGATAGGTTCCCGTGTAAATATTTAGAGCTATTTCACTGATCACATCGTATTGCTCACTAGTCAAAGACTTCATAATTAGTTTCTGTTGAGCGCTGTTTGCACTCAACAGAAAATTTATAAATGCTTTCTGCTTCCGTATTCTCCGATTCATTTTTGCAATATGAATAAATTATGATCAAGTACATGTATTTATAGGGGTTGATAAATAACCATGTTCTCTCCAGGCAAGATGTGAGATCGAAGTTGGTATTCTTTGTTCTGAGTAGGTTCTAAACACACATGCAAATAGCCAAAATTTGCACGTGTTGCAGCTTCGTATGCTGCTTTGAAAAACGGTACACATCCTGGTAGTATTTGTGATCCAAAGGTGATGATCTGGCGGGAATCGCGGTAATTCTTGAATAAAAATCACATTTAGACAGTTCAGGGATATAGTCCTGGCATATTTACCAGGAGGGTATAAGTTTTGAGAAAGCATCACAGTGGTAACGTTACGGTGATGAGAAGTCACCGTAAAAAGATGTACACAATCTTGCGATTGAGCAACTTGTAGCATAAGATCGTCTAATACCACTATCGTGTGGTTTACACCCTCGGTATACTGCTCTATATCTTCCTTGGAGGGTAATCCTTGATGAAGAATGAGTCTCGGTATGTTTGCAATCATTTCGTCAAACATGGGTTGATGTTCAGAATAAGCATTGATGATTTTATCTACAGAAGTGGAAAACATGCCATCTTCATTTTGCAAGAGTCGTTTAGTGAAATGGGTCTTTCCGCTTTGCGTACTACCACAAATCAAAATTGTGGTGGGTGCTGAAAATGGTAGTAAGGATTTTGTTTTCCACCATTCGCTCTGCGTTGCCATGTTTCCCTTTCCTCCACTGATTCACGAATGATTTGACATGTAATACTGAACAAGTATTTATTAAAAAAAAAAAAGTCACCAATGTCGTATATCATGTTTATTGATACAAGAATTCATGTATGAAACTTCGTACAAAGTCATCATTAAGTTTAATGCTACTAGAAAATAAAGTATAAACACGTGACAAAGACATTTTAAGACACAATCTAGATATCAAAAATACAAGTACATAAAGCCCACACAAATCTGAATAGGAAGGTTGAAGTCGTTTACATTTAAAGTTACAGAATTCACTATTCTTATAAATAAAGTTCTCAATCTCTGGATAATTCCCAAGTGGTTTCCCAAGACTATCAAAAAAATCGGCCTCTGAGGAACTGTGTATGATTACAGCGATCCAATGTTCTCCAGGAAATGGCAAAGGTTGCGTATTGATGATGAAGGCACTTGGGTAATGCGTCACAACTTCCGGTAAAGTATTACTGGCATATACTCCTTTTACAAATCGTTTTAGGACAGGTTCCTTGTGCACAAAATCGAGGAGCTGTTTTGAATTCATGGTTGAATGTAATTGATGTCCCGGGACTTGTCCACTTCTAGTAGAGAGGAAAAAGTGGCAAACACCAAAACGTTTGCAGCTTTTGTTGTTGCTTGTTTGAACTTTAGTTCGAGTCTGGTGTTTCCTCTTCGAATCAGGTTTAAATATTCTTCACCAAAACCACAGGGATCTATGGTAAAGACGAACAGAGAATATCCGCTTCCAAAGTTGTCTCGAGTAATTACTAGCCCGGCGTCTTGATTCCATTTTCCAGAGGCCTCAAACAGTCGAGCATATGCTGATGAATAATGCCCTGTCGTGAAATCGGTTTTTAAGGGCCTTCCTGGGACACTTTCTCCGTTTACGTATATACCTACATCCGTTACACCAAAATGCTCGAAATTGAAAGGATTGGTTGTGTAATCCCCGTTAACAGCTTTTTGATCTACCAATCCTACAACGATGCGGTCGGGTACTGCCTGAGGAAAAATGTTGTCCCAGTAAAATTCAGTAGATCCTTTAGGAATAGTGTTCATTTTCAATTCATTTCTTGAGATGGTGTATTTTACAGGGGTAGATTCTATCTGCTTGCTGTGGTTTAATAGAACTCCAGGGTCTACTCGCACTTTGGCAACTTTGTACACGACATCTAGTAATTCCAGTTTGTAAGCCGGGGTGCTCTGTGCCGACATCATTACAAAAGGTGCACTAGATCTAAAAAGCTTGATGTAGATATCTACACCATTGATCAGGTATTTGTCGATGTCAAAAATATCTTCCATCAGGTTACCCTCTAGTTCAAATACTTTACTTTCCTGTGTATAGCCGTATCGCAGGACTAGTCCAGCATTGCCACCATTGTAGGCATTCGCATCACCCACATTTCCTTCGTCCTTAAAAAACAACTGGGACTGCTTTTGGGAAGATAACTCCTCTTTTCCACCAAACAGGACTGTTTTCAGGTATGCTTTCCAAGGATAATTATTTGTATTAAAGGAAACCAACTTGTTATTTAAGTAGACATCCATCTGCGAAAACATGCTTTGCAATGGGAGATTCACAATTCCAGTCTTCTCATTGGCCGCTAATGAGGAACCATCCGCTTTTAAAATCCTGGCTTTTACATACAATCGGCTTCTTTTCAAATCGATATATTCCGCCCCCGATCCAGATACGACTATTTCTATGGGAGTATCTGAAACTCCAATACTGGAAATCGGTCTGGCTTCAGTAAAATACACTTTTTCAACTGCTACCTGATTAGTGGGTGACGCAAAGAGAGAAAGTTCCATTGGCTGGGCTATGTCTTTATTATCACTGCTTAAGAAGGCCATCTTTACTGCTTAAAAACGTTCTTGTAACTATCGATCTTAAAGAGTTTTTTCGACTTTTGTGATGCCCTTTTTCCTCCAGATGTATGTCGCTTTTCAGGTCTTCCGTTCGTTTTCTTTTTCGAGACTGGTTTTTTCTTCCCAAGATTGAATTTCTTGCTCTCCCTCCTCCTCTTGTGCGATGTTGACGTCTTCAATTTTTTAGTAGGAATGACAGAGGAGTGTTTTGATGGTCTTTTTATACCCTTGGTCACCTTGACATAGGGAACGCCTTCTTTTACGTCTTTCACATGTTCCGATTTGGCTCTCTCTTCCACGGCAGCCACCGGTGTCACTTGAGGGGTAGGGTTAACGGATTCTAACTGTGAATGAGGTCTAATCGGAATAACATAAGATTTTCGTTTTCTCATACCCCTTCCAATTTGTTTGGGTTTATATTTGTAAGGACTGAACTTTTTCTCTGCCATGTTTTTATAAAAAGCTTCCCAGATTTTAGGGTCACTGATGTACGTCTGACTATTCATTATAAAACGTAAGGGAATTTCTTAAAGTGAAGTGTAGCGCTCACCGGTCCGTCTAAGAATGAGACTAAGTTGCCTGCTCTGTCCGTTATATATATACAGATCTGTTGTAATTGACCAATCTTTACGGGAAGATAATAAGGTAACGTGTAGATGATGTTGTTCTCCTGTTTTTCTCCAAGAAAAACTCGTCTTAAGAGGGGTACGTCCTTGCCCCCAACAATGGTTTCCTCACATATGTCACAGCATATGTACACATCGGGAGTTTTCTTGGCTGGATCCCAACTCTCTGTAGTAAATTCTGTTAAAGCAACTGTCCAGTATCCATCCAATTGAATTTGTTTATTCAAGTGAACTCGAAAACAATTGGGTTTATTGTCAAAATATTCGGAGCTGTCTGTAGACCTCAACACCATTCGAAGGCTCATCTTGACTGATGATAATTCATTGAAAAAAACTGTTTTTATTTGGTGTTTTCTAGAGAACTTTCGGGAATCCACGAATTGAATTTACTAGGCCATCCTTCCCATTTTACGTACACTTCCTTTGTATTACCGCGTTTTCTCTTTTTCAACACCTTTTCCACTCTATACAGAATATCTCCCGACTTCATGACTTTTTGAAGTTCCGATTCATAAAAAGTGCCTTCTATTGGATCATCGGCTAAATCCTTTATTTTGTACACAGGTATACCAGCTCTCTTGTAGCGATTAGACACTTTAAAATATTCTTCAGTCCATTTTTGCTGGTAGTCTCTTTGAAATGGATGTTTAAGCTGTGAAATACGTACGTCATCTCCTATTTTGTACTTAAAAAGTGGTTTAGTCCTTTTCTTTTTACTAAACGATTTTATTGTTTTTTCCAACTTGTTTTTGCTCACAGGATTCTTTTTCCTCGTATTGAGATAGGAAATGAGTCTCACTTCATCTGCATTTTCCTTGGTGACAGTTACAGGTGCTTGCTCCCCTAGAGATCTATGAGGTCTCTGGTTATAACTAGTCACTAAATCTTGTAAAACTTCAACATAACGGTATGTTCTATTTTTCAGAAAATAACGATACATAAGATTTTTCATGGTACGAATAACTCTTTCGGCATAGTTTGCTTTAGTTTCATTCTGGGTGTATATGACATGCACACCCTCTTTTTTTAAAAACGCTTTTACCGAGCGATTTTTAAATTCGCTCCCTTCGTCTGTTCTGAGCGTTTGAGGTTTTCGTCCTGTTTGAAAAACTGATTTTAAACCTTCTGTGACGTTTTGATGCTGCTTATTTTTCAAAGGTACTATGAATAAAAAGCGACTGAATATATCTATTAACACTAACAAAAATTTATAACCATCGTTCTCGGAAGAAATGTTGCTGACATGGGCTAAATCACCATCCCACATGGAGTCAATCGTATTCACTACAACCTTAGAGCGAGGAAATGACCGACGGATAGGTTTTAATAAACTGTAGGGATCCTCGTTATTCAAAAATTGTCTAATTCTCATTCTTCCAATTTTATGCTTTCCTTCTTTTTTTACAGCCTGATAAAGTTTCTCAGGACCTGCAAATGCACCTGGATTTCCGGGAGTATAGTATAGCTTTCTCAAATAGTCTGTGTACTTTGCCATCCTGTACCTAACTGATTATTTCCTCTCAGTTTTATATTATATACCAAATCAAACACAGGAATAGAATTTTTTTTCAGATGTATAATTTATTATGAATTTAAAAGTATTTATTATACATGTACATAAACAAGGATACATATAAGTATTTACATTAGTCACTCATAACAAAATAATTTAAGAGTTCTTTTTTATTCAATATCACTTTTATTCAGAATCACTTTCGATTGTCTGTGAGTCTTGTAAGTCACCGACATTACATTCCATGGACACATCTTCTGTCGGATTATATCCAAAAGGAGTACACTCTGGACAACTTAACATTCCAAGCTGATTTTGATGGGACTCGCTGAACACACACAGTTCTGTATCATTTAATTCGGGAACATATTCTCGTACTTCTTCAACGGCTTGTAGTAATTTAGTCAACTTGTATTTGTTCAAAGACACACCTTTTCTGGTTGGTACCGGTTCTAGGGCATCGTCTGGCTTCCAAAAGTGCCTAATGTCTACTGAGGTATACCCAGGGTTAACAGAGACGAAGACACCCCCTCCAATATGCCATTTCATCTCTACATCAGCTTCATTGTTTTGCAGATAGTTGGCGATATCTGGTAGAAGAGACTCAAATTTCAGCCATCGGCACAACGGGAATGTCACCCCCTTCTTTGTTGCAAAATAACGACCGTTAGATTCTGTAAAGTGACGGATGTGAATATTGATATCCCCCTTGAATGGCACGGCTGTAAGGAAAAGATCGTTGAAGTCATCCAGACTGATTCTACACCGCTCTTCTTGTGAGTTTTGTTGTTCTGAAGGGTTACTTTTCGGCTCAGACTTAATAATTCGTTTTTCTGACATGTTCACAACCAGCGACCTGGCCATTGCTAACTTCTTTTCGTACTCGGACATGTTATTATCACCGACTGAGAGAAGCTTGGATAAGTCTGTTTGGTTAGCTTTCATAAGTGCCATTCGAAGACCTGTAAAACCTTTTGGTCCTCTGCGTAGAATGATACTTATTAGCTTTCTGTTACGATCATAACTGGTCTTTTCGGCTTCAATCTGCTGTCTCATCTCGTCGGTTATAATGTTGGAGGCAAAGAGATGCCCAGCAACGGAAGAGGTCATCATTTTTTTCACCAGAGTCGTGTAGTTTGCTTTGATTATATCCTGATGTTTCTGTTCCATCTTTGCTGAAGAGAGGGTGATGCTTCTTTTACGATCAATTCAGATATGTTGGAAATTTTTACAATAAACCCGTTTTTATAACAAAATTGTCACGTGCTTGATTGACCTTAGACTTTTCATAAAAAGGAGTGTTTTTTCTTTTTAAAAAAAGTGACTGCAGACAATTTTGACTGCAGACGGAATTGATCTCAGACGTAATTGACTGTAGACATTTTTCTTGGAGATAATAGTAAATCCTGACTGTATACTGAATTGACGGTAGACATTTTGATAGTATTTAGTTTTTCTTTCACTTTTTTTTTTTTTAATGTAGTGAAGAGTTTCTGATATTATATTCATAATATCTTCCACAGTATCCGCCATTTCTCTCAACACATAAAGCGGATTTCCATGACGTACTTTTTCTTTTCTATGAATAAGCCAGTGAAGACTGTAATCCATTTTTTCTGACAGTTCCCTAAACTGGTCCACTAGATCTTTAAGTTTTCTCCAGTCTGAAGCGCCCACTTTAATATCATCTCTTTTCATAATTTTGACTTGTGTTTTAAGAGCAAGTGCGCTTCTAACGCATTTCATCAGACGTGTAATGTGCATCAGCAGCTCTTCTTCTTTTCGATTGGTTAAAACGTTAAAAATGTTTTTACACATTCTGTTCCATTGCAATTTTGTTCTTCTTAATTGTCTTTCCATTGTCAGACCTTCCATTTTCAGCAAAAGGTATGATGTCTTACGCAAAAAACACCTCAGTTTATATACACGACAGTCCTCGTCACTCCCTTTTTTTTTTAATTACACTTGACCTCAGACATTTTGATGTTATTTAGTTTTTGAAGTAGGATAGGTGACAACAATATCTCGACATGATCAATTCTTCTTTTAAAATGAGCCCTGTCAACAGCATATTGCATCCATATTCCTTTCCGTTCTTCATAAGGAATTGCAATTATATGTACACGATCATTAAATTGAATATTCCTTTGCACTGGTTTCATTTTGTTTCACTAAAGGAGTGTCTGTTCACAGAAAGAGATCGATCTAAAATACTAATGTTCACTCTTCCTTCAATTTATTTATACAAACTAATCATGAATATGAGTCTATGCACTAATTTGTTGTTCACTGGGCGTCCAATCACCCCAATACTCTTCGTGTCGCCAAGTTCCATCAGGCCACAAGAAAGTCATTGTACCGTTGCAGTAACTTTCAATTTGAGATTCGTAATGAGCGTCTTTCATGATGCTGTACGGTACACGGTCGGCCATGATAGTTTTCAGGACTTCTGAGAACTCCATTGGTTCCTCCAAAGACACATCTTCAAGATCACATGCGCGCAAGCAAAAGGTTGCCATCTTCAATGGATCGAGTTTTGATTCCTTGGCCAGTTTCACCAAACAATGTTTCTCGTGTACAAATTTCGTTCTCAAAGAATATTGCTTTTTACAAAAGTCACAGGACCGGCAATCTCCATTATCTGCAATATACTTATCAATCCGTTTTTTGACAATGGCTCCCCACTTCAAAAAGTTTCTAAAGTATATCTCATCATTGCATAGAATATCCTCACTGCTCCAATAATCATCCATTTTGCTGTTTTATAAAGAATTATTATATATTTTTGTCTCTTCTCCTTATATAGATCGTCAGACGGCTTTGGGAGTGGTTGGTGATTATTTATGTGACCCTAGACAGTTTTTGAGGGGATGGGTGACCCAAAACGGTTTGATGGGATGGGGGTGACCCCAAACGCTTTAATGGAATGTGTGACCTCAGACGGTTTTATGGGATGGGCCATGACGTCATTGACCCCAGACGGCTTGATGGGATGGGTGACCCCAGACGGACCAATGACGTCATTGACCCCAAATAGACCCCAGACTATACCCCTTACTACTGAGGAATCTTTTTCGTGCCAGCATCCACAGCGACACGGGACCTCGGTTTAAACGGTCTCATCCGAAGGACCAGTCTCCACGTCCCACAGTGGGATTCGAACCAGCGACGTAAGATCAACTCTTACTCTGCGACTCTAGAGCAGACGCTCTACCACTGCGCCACGCGGGCGACTTGTAATCCCGTAACATAGCATCAAAAGATATGCTTAGTTTATTTCGGGCAAATTCATGTTTTTGATGTAATTTTTCTGACAGATTTTGGGCGTATTTAGAACTTGATTTTGATTTATATTTTACAGGATCAACACTGTCAAGCATTAAATCTACTGTGCGTGTGACCGATCGCCCAAACACCATACCCCCGTGGCCTCATGAGAATATGACTGGTTTACTAACATGAGTAAGGGTGTCGAGTCATCCCAATCTTTTTGATTTTTTCTAACAAATGCTGAGAGCATAATTTCAATTGTGTTCTATTTGCCTTTTCTATCATCCCATCAGGCTTAGGTCTATAGGGAGTAATACGAGTTTTATCTATACCCAGTATTTTACACATTTCTTTGAAAATATCAGATCTAAATGTTTGTCCTTGATCAAAAATGGAGACTACATGAATTATAAATTTCTGGACAATTGAAACTGATTTCTTATTTCTAATAGGGATAGCTGCCGTCACGGTAGCTCAGTCGGTAGAGCGCTCGTATGTTCGAATCACTGCCGCGACTGACCTAAGTCGATAAGAAATAGGTAGCAACTGTTCCTTCGCCAAGTGCTCGGCACTTTGAAGGGAAAGTTGCGAGACCTTATAATTTTCCTTTTTACTTGGCATTGGTTTTCATTGGGATGTTCATTTTGCAAATGTTTGTCTTCTGCCTTACTGCAATGTTTACAATCTAGATCTCCCCTTAGACAAGGTCTACGGAACAAAGCGTCCGCATTATTATGAGAACAATCTGTTTTATATTCAATTTTAAAGTTTTTTGATGACAAAAATTTAAACCAATATGCTACCTGGCCCTCTGGATTTTTGAAATTCAGCAATCAAGTGAAAGACCCATGATCTGTTTACTTTGAAGGTTTCCTATATAAATAGTGGTGGTAGTGCTTTATTGAATTTACAATAGCTAATAACTCTCTTCTAGTAAAAAATATCGACGCTGAATGTATTACTGTAATAAGGTTGAAATGCTTCACGCTATAAGGCTGCACCGCAACAGACGTTGAAGGTTCATCTTTGGACATTGCATCTTTTGCTTGGGACTCTCGCTGTCACTCCTGCTGCTGGATTTGTTAGAGGACAGGGACCCGGAGCGACCTCTGACTTCGGGAGTGGAGCTTCTACGCTTCGCAGGGGAGTGAGGGATGCTACCCCCGGGATAGAAACTAAGCTCTCGCTCAGTAGAGGGAGCTCAAGGGAAGGGTCTAGGAGAACTATGGGAAAGTCTGTAACGGCCCCACACATACACAGTCAGGGCTATCATCTTACATTTATATGCTTCCAGTGCCTCCTCTGCAGCCCAACCTGCAAGACCATGACTACGGCGTATGATCTCCATGCGCCTAGAGCTAGAGTATTTTCCCGTGCAAGTACATTGTATTATGATTATCCTGTCCAGTGCCTAAGAAATGTCAAGTGCCAACCAGAGCACATGAATGCGAATCCAGAGTTGCTCCAGGATGTCTCTCCGCACTAAAACCTTTCGTTCAAAGATTTGTGAGGATCTACAAACACCACATTTGAAAACAATCTGATCCTCTACTCTCGACATTCTGAAAATGAATAAACGAATGGAAAATATACATGAACAATTCTACAAAGTATCTGTAATGTTGGTGAGGCAAACATGCACGGCATCAATCTCCCTTGCAGAGTTGTCGTTCGTTTCTCTCTCAGACACCTCTGTGATGGGCTCACGTCAA